AACACTCAAGAGTACGAATGGTTATAAATTATGTAAAAATGTTTGAATGAAAAAGTGAGTTAAAGACTAGAAAAATTGATGGAATGCAAAATTTTAAAAAATGTGAATGAATATGAAAATAAAATATAATAATTAAATATTATTTTTTAAAACTCTAGATTTAATTGTGTTGTGAGTTTTTTTAATTCTACACTTAATTTGATAGTTTTATAACATTTAAGTCCTAAATTGAGAAAAATAATCTTTCAGGCCCCGTATTGATAGTTTACCCATCTTTCGGGTCTTTAATTTGATAGTTTTATAACATTTAGGTCCCGAATTGAGAAAAAAAATCTTTCAGGCCCCGCATTGATAGTTTACCCATCTTTCAGGCCTTGTATTGATAAAACTCCAAAATTCAACTAGCTTATTTGAAAAGCTACCTAATAAAAATTACTACCAAATAAGCTCGGACCAATTGAGGAATTTTATTTCACTGAAGTCATTAAGCATAAAGGAGTGTGGAGCAGATCCAGCGGCATTAAAGTGTCACATCTACCAATTGAGGAATTTTATTTCACTGAAAACAATGGACAAGAAAATAGTGTTACTGCCACGTTATATTTAGATAATTAGTTATCATAAGTGTTACTACTAAGGGCTTCTCCAATGGTTAGCTATTTGGCTAACTATTATGACGTGGACAGGGGAAAAGTAAGAGAGAGAGTAGTCACTAGCTACTAACAAATAGCTTATCTATTTCACGTAGCCCAAGATCATGTGAGAGGAGTAATGGGTCCAATAGTATAAAATAATTATTTTTCTTGTCTTTCACATCCACGTCAGCTAACCATATAGCTAGTAATAGCTATTACCATTGGAGATGCCCTAACTCCTTGAATTATTAGACACTCATGTTGACGTGTATTTGCGGAAAATATTAGAGATTTAGTCTTTTTGGTGGCATCGATTTTCGTTTTAGTCCTGTAACTTGACAACTTTTAGAATAAGTCCTGTAAGTATCAATAAATCTAAGATTTAGTCATATCACCAACAAAAACAGGTCACTTTTATCGGCTCGCCTACGTGGAACTTTACACGATTTTTTTTTTTAACTGATTTAGCTGACTTGGCAAATATGTAACATATTTACAAAAAGATGTAGTTAGGGGGGTTCGGACCCAGGCCAAAACGTATTCAAGTGGCCTTGAGAGCCACTTCACTTACAACAATTTATATCAATGAATAAATATGTATTCTAAAATTAAATAAATATTAGTATGACGTGTTAGTGGAATTATATATTAATTAACATGTTAATTTCTTGGCTTAAATAAACGTCACTTTTTAAAAGATGTGAAATATGGATGATCCAATCCTATTGTTTTTTTGTCTTGAATGCAAGATATTGACTGGTGATCATGCTGGCGACACAGTGTTGATTCTTAAAATGAATATTACTCCTTCTGATCTTAGGTTCCTTTTGAGGTTTCAGCGGCGGCAGTTTCCACTTATGGTTTCGTATGCCATGACCATAAACAAGAGTCAGAGACAGTATTTATCCCACGTGGTCTTTAGTCATGGTCAATTATATGTTGTTGTTTCGCGTGTGACTAATAGGAATGGGTTGAAGATATTAGTTTGTGAGAATGAGGAGTTACCCGATAATCAAACTCATAATGTTGTGTACAATGATGTCTTTAATAATATATGATTGTTTCTTTTTTCAATACTATTTTATTGTACAATTTTTCTGTGTATTGTACAACTTTTATTGAATATTGCATATTAAATTATAATACTCCTCAAATGAATATATCCCGTGTCTCGCACAGGTCACGTACTATATATATCCCGTACATCTTTTTTATTCATTTATATAATTATAAGGATGAATATATGGCCTTAAAATTGTGCACTCCGTGCATCGCACGAGCTCTGTACTAGTTAGTTATCATAAGTGTTACTACTAACTCATTGAATTATTAGACACTCATGTTGACGTGTATTTGCGGAAAATATTAGAGATTTAGTCCTTTTGGTGGCACCGATTTTCGTTTTAGTCATGTAACTTGCTTTTAGAATAAGTCCTGTAAGTATCAAAAAACCTGAGATTTAGTCCTATCATCGGAAAAAACAGATCACTTTTATCGGCTCGCCTACGTGGAATTTTACACGATTTTTTTTTGTTTTTGCTGATTTAGCTGACTTAGCAACATATGTAACATATATACAAAAAGATGTAGTTAGGGGGGTTCGGACCCACGCCAATGAGTATTCAAGTGGCCTTGAGAGCCACTTCACCTACAACAATTTATGTAAATTTTGTAACTTCACTTTTATATATATATAAAGAACAATTTATTATATATTTAGTTATTGGGTTAATATATATATATATGTGTATATATATATATATTTATATTAATATTAATGTATTTTTTAATATATATATATAAATAAATATATTATAAAATATATTTAAATATATTATATAAATAAATATATTATATAATATATTTTTTAATATATTAAATATTAATATATTAAATATATTAATATTTATATAAATAAACATATTATATAATATATTTAATATATATATATATATATATATATGTTAAAGTAAAAGAATTATTATTTAATATATTTATTTATTACGTTATTTGATATATTTATTTATTCAAATATTAAATATAGTTTTTATCACTTTTATTTAAATACTAAATATATAATATAGTATATAATATATTAAAGTCAATTGACATTAATTTAATATATATTAAATAATTAATTAATATATTTAAATACATATTCACTAAATAAATATTAAATATATTTAATTAACTTTTATTTGTATGCTAAATAAATATTTAATAATTTAATAAATAAATATAATAAATTTATTTATTAATAAAAAATATTTATTAATTTATATTTATTTAATTAATACATATTTATTATTTAAAAATAATACTATTTAATATATTTATTTATAATATATTTTATTAATTTATACTATTTAATACTATTAAAAATTAAACTATTTAATATATTTATAAATAATTATTTAAAAATAATACTATTTAATATTTATTATTTATAAATAAATATAATAAATATTAAATAACATTATATTATTGAATATATTTATTAATTTATATTTCTTGAATTAATAAATATTTATTTAACTAATATATATTTAATATATGAATAAATAAATATATCAAATAACGTAATAAAAAAATATATTAATATTTAAATAAATAATATACTATATAATATATTTAATATATATATATATATACATATATATATATAATATATATATATATACATATATATATTAACCAAATAACTAAATATATAATAAACTGTTCTTTAAATATATATAAGTGAAGTCACAAAATTTACATAAATTGTGGTAGGTGAAGTGGCTCTCAAGGCCAATTGAATGCCCATTTGCCTGGGTTTGAACCCCCATATCTACATCTTTTTGTAAAAATATGTTACATATTTTGCCAAATCAGCAAAAAAAAAAAAAAATGGTGTAAAAAAATGGATTGTAATCGTTCGGTTCTCTCAACATTAATGGAATTTAGATTTTGAAGATAATGAATTTAGGGATTTAGGTTTTGAATTTAATACACTATATTGAAACAACGCCGTTCAAGCCGACCTACTATTTTATTTGAGGAAACGTGTGCCACGATAACTAAATTGTTGGACAGGTTGGCATCAGTTCGACAGAGACCGAGTCAATGCTTCGTTTGAAAAAAAAATAAAAATGTTAGGTATCGAAATACCAATGTCCAAAAGTCGTGAAAGAAGTGAAAAAATCGGTTGTAATTTCATATACAATTTAGCCTAAATTAAATCAGAAATTCTATGGTGCCCATATGGGCACCATATGGTGCCATAATCTCACAATCCAACGCCTAATATTCATTTTATCAATTCCACAAATAGATATTAAGCGTTGGATTGTGAGATTATGGCACCATATGGTGCCCATATGGGCACCATAGAATTTCTGAAATTAAATAGTATAAATTCACCCTATATATAATTTTCGAATGCGCTGAGCCTACGTGACTGCTTCTGGTACTTTGGAATCCTACTGGCGAAGAACCATGCTTCGTAATTAGGTTTGGACAAATAATATTGATATAGTAATAATTAAAAATTTAGATTCGGATATTCCATAAATATTATTTAGCTAACTTAGGTATTTTAATATCACTTGTACTAATATAACCCTTTAATTCATTCTAATTTTACATAGTGAGGCACTAAGTGACTAATATATCACTGACTTTTGATTTGCTTCCATCAATTAGCTATTGAATTATGTTGACAACTTTTGTATTTCTTATCGGTTTTACATATATAATATATCAAATTAATCATCTTTTGATTATCTTCGATTTGACATCCATATTGTATATATGAATAAATAAATTATATTTATCTTTATAATAATAAAAATTAATAATATTTATTAAAATTTATTAGAAAAATAAAAATATTTCTCAATTGATATATTAATGTTTAATGTAGTTATGTGTTGTAAGTTCAAAAAATTATTATAATACAACACATGTAAGTCGCACAAATAAAAAGTGGCATGCTAAATATATAATAATATATATATTTTTATAAAATGTAATTAAATTTTTAACTATCTTTTCTCATCAATTTTAGATTTTAAGAAAAAATAGCCAAACATTCGATGTAATACACGGGCGTTGTACTATCTACTTTTAATACAAAAAAATACAATTTAATATTAACAATAAAAATAAGTAGAGTAAAATATATAAATAAAATAAAATAACATATGAAAAAAAAAAAAAAAAAAACGCACAAATCTATTTCCTAGAGGGGATTTGATTTGGTGTATTAAAGCCAATTTTGCATGAATGAATTGACTCTGCACTTTCGGCATCCGTCTTCAACCTTGAGCCGCCCGCCAATAATTGCTTCCCCCCAAAAAAAACCCTAAGTCGCCAATTCCTCTCATGGCCTCGATCGACAGGCTGAGCGACTTGCCGGACGAAATCCTCTCTCACATCCTCTCTTTTCTCCCCATCAAAACCTCCGTCTCCACCAGCACCCTCGCCGCAAGATGGAGGTTTGTATGGGCTTATTCCCCTAACATACAAATCGTTGAGCGATCAATGAGTTTTTTCGCTTATAGAGACGTCCTGAGAAGTATTCTGCCCCAATGTGAAGCGCACAGCGTGATCACACTTCGCATCATTGGGGATATCTTCTTCGATTGTGAACTTGAGATGTTTCTCGAGAGCGCCTTTGCGTGCAAGACGAAAACTCTCGAAATTACTCAAACGCATGACTATTGTGATTTGCCCCCTTGTGTGCTCACCTCCCAAACCTTAGTTGATTTGAAGCTCAGTCGTTTCTTTGTTAAGATGAAGGATGTCACCGTGTGTTTACCAGCCCTCGAGAGGCTTCATATTAAGACTACTAGACTTGATGACGGCTCCCTCGAAAACCTGATTTCCGGTTGTCCGGTGCTTGAAGAGTTCACCTATATCGATTGTTACGAATGTGTGGATTCCCATTGCATATCTTCGTCCACTATGAAGAAGTTGGTCCTCGAGCCTCACTTCCGTAACAAGTTGAAGATAGATACCCCAGCACTTGAATATCTATTAATACATTATTCTATCCCCCAAAAGTTATCTTTTGGGCCGATGGACTCCTTGATTGGAGCACACATTGTTGTTCGTGATGACACGCTAACTATGAACGGCGATCTTTATTCCCTGGTAGAATTTTTGGGTAGGTTCTCTAATGTGAAAGAAATGAGCTTATGTCCTTGGTCTTGGGGGGTTAAGGCGAAGGTAAACCTTGTTTTTTCTCCATCACCTTTTGCTTTTTCTTTTTCCACTCTTTTTTTTTTTTCTTTTTGTAATCTTTGTTTTCCTGCAGGTTCATGACTTGACCTCTGTCGATTTGAACATAAAGTTTCACAATTTAGCCAAACTCACGGTGGAAGGTGATTGGCGTATCATCTCATATTTTGTGGAGAAGGCTAACAAGCTTGAAGTTCTTAATGTTAGTTCGATTCTTTTGTTCGTATTTTCAACTTGTATGGTTATGTGTGATTGATGGCCCGGCCTTGTTCTGCATTTGTTTTCTTTTTTTTTTTCATCATCAGGTCACACAATATTCAGAATGGGAGATGGAAGAAACCCCCCAGTTGCCTTTGGCTAATTCAATCATGAAGCTTCACAATTTAATAAAACTCGAACTGCAAGTCGATTGGTGGTTCCTCACATTATTCCTAGACAAGGCTGATAAACTTAAAGTCCTTATTATCCGCAACAATGTAACCATTTTCTTTTTATTTCTAATTGATGAAGGCCAGCTGGTTTGTGGCATTGGTTTACCTTTCTGATTCATTTTCAGGACTATCGTAAGCAGAAGCGAAAACGCTGGTTGGCGGCGCCCCTCCAAGTGCCTAATTGTCTGTCATCGCATCTTAAAATATTACAAATTCATGAATTGCATGGTACAGATGAGCATGAACTCGACATGGTTAGATATCTATTGAAGAATGCTCTAGTCCTCGAGAGGATGGATCTATACTGCCACGAGGGGATGGAACGACACTGCATAGCAGAATCGATTGGGAGAATTTCATCATTTGATCGAGGATCTGAGAAGTGTGAGATTGTATTAACCGAATACCTGGGATCGGACAATGACTGACTTAGGTTTTTGACACGATCTAAGTATCGTCTCGTCACGCCAACACTCCACGGCTGAGAGGGTCTTTTGATAAATATAGTTGCCTTTGGTCTTCGTATATCACTCTCATTTATTCATGCGTGTTAATGTCTTATTGTGAGTAGTTTTATTACCCTTTTCTTGTTGCTATTGTGGTATGATAAAAAGATGAGATATAATGGCACAGCCATCAAGAATCAAATTGGAAATTGGAAATTAACCATCGGAACATTTACTGTTGGATTTTACATTTTTTAATAAGATAATTCCTAGATCTGTTTGTCATGCTTCATTTTGTCATGTGGCTACACAATTCCTATATCTGTTTTAATGATCAATTCAAAATTCATGACTAACTGAGTTAAAATCTTTTCTGTGTTAGAGAAGACAAATTGCTAGTTTCATGTACTTTTAGGCAATTTGTTGGCTACCCAAACAACTGTCACAGATGTTTTGATTTTCTTGTATCATATTACGATGAAACCCAACTCGAAGCTACCATGTGCAGAGAGATGTTTTTGGTCGAGATTGCAGTGATTTTTGGGTATTGAAGACAAAACTTTTGGACAATCGTCTGTTTCTTCTCTCAATATAAATTGAATTTTGGGATTCAAATTTTGATTTAGGGATTTAGTTTGAATTTAATACACTACATTGAAACAACGTCGTTCAAGTTGAACTTTTTTTTTTTGTCTGAAAAACGTGTGTCACGTCAACTAAATTGCTGGACATGTTGACATCGGTTCATCGGAGACCGAGTCAATGCTCCGTTTTGTAAGAAAAACAAAATGTTAGGTACGGAAAGTTAATGTCCAAATGTCGTAACAAAAGTGAAAAAGACAAAAAAGTCGTGATATCAGCAATTTACAATTTAGCCTTAATTAGATACAAAAAATAAGGTATATAAATAAAAATTGTTTTAAATACAAAAAAAAGTACATTTTAATATTAAAAATAAAAATAAGTAAAATAAGATATATAAATAAAATTAAATAACATAATAGAGAAAAAAAAA